TTAGTGTCTTTCTTATTTCTTTATGGAAAAGGCAGAAGTCTCTCTCTCTCTCTCTCTCTCTCTCTCTCTCTTATGTTAACAGAGCCTACTGATGAACAGCTGGCAATCCCCACAGGTTGGCTTAGAATAGAATCCTCTGTGACCAAGACAAATGGTAAAATACATAGGTAGTTGCATTTAGTACTTAGATGTGATAGGCAAGGGGTAGAGAGGGGAGACATCATTAAGAAGAGAGAGCAGGGACAGTGGTAAGATGGCTCAGTGGATAAAGACACTTGCCACCAAACCAGGTGGCCTGAATTTGATCCCTGGGCCCCACATGGTAGAAGGAAAGAATTGACTCATTTACGTTGTCTTCTAACCTATGCATGATTGTTGTTGCATGTGCAACCCCCTCACATAATAACAAATACATGTAAACCATTAAAAAAGAGAGAGGAAAGGAAGATTCACTGAAGTACATGCCCTTATAGGTGGTATGTGCCGCTGTTTGCCCCAAGAGACTATGCACAGAGCACTTTGATACTGTACGTTCCCACAAAAACACCCCCCCCCCAATTCTGTATCATTAAAGACTCATGGCTGGAAGTGAGTCAAATGAAAAGCTCAAAAATAAGTAAATAAATAAATAATTCAAGGGTTGGTGGTGTATCTTAGTAGTAAAGCACTACTACCATGTACACAGCCCTGGGTTTGACCACCCCCCCTCCAAGTTGAGGAAAAAAATCATAAACTAGGTAGTTAATAACAGAAATTTATACCTCACAATTCTGGAGGCTGGGAAGCGTAGAATCAAGGCACGGGTCTCCTTATAGAGGTACTTTATCAGGTATCTGCCTGCCTCAGCCTCCAGAGTGTAGAGTCTCATTCAACTGCTCAGACTGGCTATGAAGTCACTCTAGCCTAAGCAGGTTGTGAGCTTATGTTTCTTCTGTCTCAGTGTTCTGAATAAGATTTTAGGCCTGCATCACTGGACCTAACCCAAGTAGGGATTTTTTCTATTTGTTTGTTTTATGATTAAAGACATAAACTATAAACACTAAAAATAGAACACTTTTTAGATGAATAGATGAGTTGATACATAGAACCCATGAATGAACCTAAAAAATTCTGGATGCAAGATTTAAAAAAAGAGGATTCTTGGTTATGGACTGTCCAGTGTGGAAGACCTTGCTTGTTTGACTTTTTTTTCTAGAGATATTACACTGGGTTTATCTGTGATTCCATCTCCTTCAAAATTATTTTGGCAATTTCTTCCATTTGAATATTCTTTCAATAAAGATCTGCAACAAAGATCTATAGCAGAGGGCTGGAGAGATGGCTCAGCAGTTACAAGCACTGGCTGCTCTTGTAGGGACCTGAGTTTGATTCCTAGCACCCACATGACGGCTAACAACTGTCTGTAATTCCAGTTCCAGGGAAATCTGACACCCTCTTCTGACCTCTGTGGACACTGCACAACATGGGTGTACTTACATAGATGCAGGCAACACACTCAAACACATGAAAAAAAATTAAAAAAAATTTTTTTAAAGATCTGTAGCAGAAATCCATGAGCAGTGACTCAAAAAAGGGTAGTAGGGGGTTGGCAGGGTAGGTGTTCTGATTTGCAGTTAATGTCTCCAGGGAGCAAGTGGAAGCTGGTTGGCTTGAGGGAACCCAGATGTTCCCCACTCTCTTGTTTCAGTACCCTGCATATAATCTTCCCACAGGTTTGCAAGACTGCTGACCCATGCAGGTCCACGGGCTCTGTAGATGGAAGGGAAGGGCACGGGTCCATACACCACTCAAGAGGTGCTACCTCCATGTCAATAGCATCCCTAGAAGCCCCACCCCAGGATGTCTACATCTGTTTCAATTGTACCCCAACTGTAAAGGAAACGGGACATGAATGTAGTATTTTTAGTTGCCCGTATTGCTGCCCCCGAAGAATCATGGCTTTTTGGGTAGGAAAGAATTGACTAATAGATACTGGGCAAGTGGCCAGCAGTGTCTGCCATGAGTTAGGCCTCTGGTCTTAGAGACAAGCCTGTGGCCTCCTGCTACCTCCCTGGGGGAGGTCATTCCTAAGTAGATACTCTTGTTCCCTTGGCAGGAAACAGAGAGGCTCATCTAGGAACTTTCTACCAACATGGTCAAGACACATGGAGTTGAGGTAAAATGGCTGCTGGAGAATATCCAGGGCCAAATGATTGCCTCACAGGAGGAGCTAGAGCTGGAGTGGCTCCAGTGGGCCTCCTCCAGGCCTAGCGCCAGCTTTACTGGCAGACGAAGGGGCTCTACTACAGCAACAAAACACAATGTAGTTCCTCCACTAGGGCAAGAGGCTCAAGTCCAAGATGGGGAGGCTTCTGGTGGGCAGCATGTTTAGCCAGGTCAAAGTGTTCACAGGGGATTTATCAAAGGAATACACATCACTGACTTGGCCCTGCCTGAGTGTGAACAGGACCTAGGTACCCAGGCCAGAAGCCTGGCTCCAGAAGCATGGAGGTCTAGGTGTTGGGCTGTCCTGGCAAGGGTGTGTATGTGTGTGTGGGGGGGTGTAGGTCAGTCAGGGCTGGTTTCAGGTTTTGTGCCTGTCACTGCTGGGCTCCCTGCCAGAGTCAGAGGAAGCTGCAGAACTTCCCAAACTCTGCTTCTGCCTGATCTACTTCCTCCTCCAAGGTATCCTTTGCACTGGGAAGTGAGCTTAGGAATATGGAATCCACAAGTATAAAGTCCTGTTTTTGGTCTCAGAGTGTCAACAACTTTGAGTATTTTGGGCTGTAAATTGAAAGCTGCTAGACTTCATTTCTTTGCAGGGGAATTCCACATTGATTTCTCTCTTTATTGGGTCATTTGGCTGGTAATTAATAGCAAAGCTTTTGTTTTTAGTGGAAACCTGCTTAATAAGCAGCTTGTTGCTGGAAGCTAACATAGAAGGCTCCAACTCCTGGAGATGCTGGGTGACACTGGGCCTGGGTGGCTCTCACTTGGTGGTTGTATAGGGGGTGAGTTATTTGGGGCAACTGAACAGAGTAACAAGGGTCTCTGATTATTTACTATGCAAAATTTAACCCAACAGGATGACAGATGCTAGAAGTACAACAGCAGTAATTCCTTAGACGTGGAAACTTTTGGCTAGCTCTAGTGACTTGTTTTTTCCATCACAGTGATAACTACAGTTTGTTGAAGCAGGCTCAGAAAAGACTGACAAATAGCAGAGCTCATCCTGCAAATTAAGAAAATATTATCATGTTGGGATGCAGACCGAGTGCAGAGATTTCAATTTTTTTCGAGAAAAGCAAGAAATCCAGTTATTTCCACATAAAATATCTTGATTCTTTTGAATGCTGTCAGCCAATTTAAAATAGACTTAAAACAGTGCCTGAGTGTAACAAAGAACTTCTGTGAGCTATATGTGCCCCTGGGCCACGACCTTGCAAACTGGTTGACATAAACGATATATAAGGTAGATGATACAATAAATATCCACTCCACACCATGGATGCTCCTGGGAAGAGAGGTTTCCTATGATGCCTAGGTTTCTCCTTACGGAATTTCTTTGTGCTGTGACTCTTCAGGAAGTAGCATTTCCAGGCTCTGAAAGCAAGAGGCTTCTGGAGTCATGGGCATATGGAGTGGGTGAGGTTTTGGAAGGAATTACCAGATATCATTCTCATGTTACATAGACCATGCCATGTGTTAAGGCCTGGGCTAACTACTACAGCAGACTCTGTGTATTAGCCAGTACTTTCTGCAGAAGCAGAACCAATAGGGTATATACACTGTTCCTTGAATTATGATGTTTCAACTTATGAATGGTTTGACTAACAAAACTGGCTTATTGGGCCAAAACTCCATAACAAGCCAAGGAGCACATATATATGCGTGTATGTACGTTATTGGCTCAAGTGATTATAAAAGCCAAGATGTCCCAGAACTTAAAAAAATATTTTTTTTTCATTTATTCAATTGAAAGAGGAGAGAGGAAAGGGAGGCAAGGAAAGCGAGAGAACGAGAATATATGCATGTGGACAAGTGTATAGGCTACCACGTTTGTGTGGAGGCCAGAGGGCAACTGGGCTGGAGTAGGCTCTCTTCTACTATGTAGGTTTTGGGAGTTAAACTCAGTCATCAAACTTTGGCACCAATTGCCTTTATCCATTGAGCTATCTTGCTGGCCCAAGTCCCACTATTTCCCACCTGCAGGCTGGGAATCCAGAAAAGCTGCTGGTATAATCTGAAGGCCTAGGAGCTAGAGAGCCTGAAGGTAAAAGAAGATCCATGTGGCAGCTCACTTAGGCGGAGTGAATTCAATCTCCCTCTACCTTTATGCTCTATTTAAGCTCTAGATGACCTGGATAAGGCCCATTCACATTGGGGAAGGCCACCTGTTGTTCTTTAGCTCACCAGTTTAAATGTGAATCTCTTCTAGAAGCCCCACACACATATCTAGAAATAATATTCAACCATCTATCTGGATGCCTGGTGATTTAGTCAAAGGACACACTAAAATGACCCATTACACCCAGGAATAAGGACCGAGTGTCTAACCTATGAGTATAGGGCCAAAGGGGAACAAGAGACACAAAGACAAAAGAAATCTTAGTGAGAGAAGGGCTGAGGCAGGGAAGAGGTCAGAGAACATTTCTAGAAGTGTGTATGCTTTACCTTGGTGAATTTGGTTACAAAGAATAGAGATCTGTTTACCTAGTTTGAGAAAGATGGAGGGAGTCTCCTTCCAAGATTTCAGGAAAGGGGTAGAGTGGAATTGTGAGATGTCAAAGCCTAAAGGACATAGGCTTGGTACTCCAGTTCACAGTGCACAAAGCTATAACGAACTAGTAAAAACAGCTAGAGTCCAGCTTGCGACTCTGGAGTCCTAGTACAGAAAGTTCTAACCGAAACAAGAGAATTAGCTTTAGATGAACTGAAAAATAGGATAATTGAAGGCTACTATGAAAAATTGTTTTAGCACAAAAATCAACACATGGGATAGGAAAAATAGTAAGAGCGACCTGAGGCACAAAGGAGGTTTGGCACAGGGCCTCTGACCGCTGCGGTGGAAGTTTCGGAGATTGGCCGCAGAACACCGCCGTCCCGCGCACAGGAAAAACGCCCGGGAGTCTTCAGCACCTTCCGACTCGCCCCTCCGACAGAGCGAACACTGGCCACGTGATGCGGCCTGTCCATCACCACGGAAGGCGGGACCAGGAGGACGGTCCTCGCCGTTCTTTACGGTCTCCAATAGGGAAGAAGCCGGCCACGGTGGGCGGGCCAGGTCCGCCTTCCCCAGGGCGGCCGCCCAGCCCGGGGCGGCTCAGTCATCACCCTCCAATGCGGTCCGGGTGAGCCCGACCCGCTGAGGCGAAAGGGTGAGGCGCACGTCAGTCAAGAGGCTCCGCCAACGGACATGGACGCTGCCCGCAATGCCCGCCTCCGCATCGGATTCCCGGCGCCCGCGGTGCCTTCCCTCAGGCCGCCGAGGCGGCGCCCGCCCGCGCCTCCATCCGGGTTCTGGGGCGCTGCTCTCCGGGCGCGGCGGCACTGGGCCGCGGTCGCGAAGGCCGGACCATCCCCGCGGCGGTGGCGGGAGGCCTTCCCCGCGAGCCTGAGGTGGGTACTGCGGGCGAGACGGCGAGCGCGGAGCCGTCGCCATTTTTTTCTCCCTTAGACTTCGCGGCGGCGGCGGGCGGGCAGGAGGGGAGACTTGTGGGCCGTGGCGGCGGACGGGTCCGGACCCGTGTGGGTTGGCCTGGGCCCCTCGGGAAGGCGTGTGTTCCCGGGGCGGGTGGCGCGCAGAGGCTGCGGTCCTGCGGTGCCCGCGGGGGATGGGTGCCGCGTGGCCGCCAGCTTGCCCCAGCCCCCTCTGCTTCCCGCCTAGCTCCTCAGCGACCGGGCGGGGGAGGGGGGGTCATTCTTCACATTCCTCACCTCGCCCCTCCCCCCGCTTCAATCAAACTTGCGGTGGGCGGAAGTCCCGCCCTCTGGCGAGCGCCGGTTGGCCATCGCTGCCTCCCACTGTGGCGTGACTGGCTGCGGGCGTTGGCAGGCCCCCGTGACGTCACTTCCGCCATCAGGTTTGTGGGCCGAGGAGACCTTGGCTTTGGGGATTGGGATGAAGGAGGGAAGGTAGGAAGTGTTGGGGGAGGGACGGGGCGGAAGGCGCTGGCGGGGAGGGCAGGAGAGCCAGCGCTGGCTGCTTGCCCCTGCTGCTCTCGGCCAAGTGCGGCCTGCAGGCCTGGAGCAGCTGCTGAGGCTGGAAGTCCGCTGCGGCGGCCGTCCTTGGCGAGGGGGAGGGGAGCGCGAGACCGGGAGGAAATTGTATCCCAGGGGATGGGGAAGGAGATTTGCAGCTCGGTGTCACCGGAAACAAGGCTGGCCTTTGACTGGGCCTCCGCAAACTCTTGGAACCGAGTGCGTTTCCTGAAGGCTGCCTACTAAACTTGTCGGCGTGCTTTAGTGGAAGCAGTGTGGTAACCTTTATGTCCTTGGCCAGCGGTGCCCTTCGGGGTTCCAACTTTTTACAGTAGGTTCTGAGTCAGCGGTGCCGGTTTGGATTGTACTTTTGAAACTTGTATGAAAATTTAAGTTCAATTACGGGAGGGCTGGCAAGCGGGGAAAACTGAGTGTTAATGTGGAAGTAAAGATTGAGATTGAGATTTTTAACTTTACTGAAAAATTTCGCTTACTTGGCAGCCAGTTCCTAAAGTTAAAGCAGTTAACGTCTTCATTATCGTTTGCGTGAAAATGTTGCGGTGTTAAGAAAATTGAACAAGTTTCAAACAATTTTCTAGGAAAAATAAAAATTTAACCCAGGTCTTTCTGCTTTAAGATATAGTCTAGTTTCCCTTACAGACAATCCAGTATTGGTAGTTAAAGCTGTAACAGTTTTGGAAATTATTTTGAATATTCCGAGTGTACGGTTAAATGCTACTTTGAAATTTAAGAACTTTTAAGAGTATAGACATAGCTTCCAAGTTCATTTAAGACTAAAAAGCATTTTAAAATGTCACAGGTACCATTAGACAGGGGGTGAGATTTTTTGTTTTTGAGACAGGGTCTCTTCTCTCATGATAACTCTGACTGGCCTGGAATTCTGTAGACCAGGGTAACTTTAAAAGATCTGTCTCCCTCCCTATTGCTGGGATATGCCCTGCTGGGGGTGGACATTTTGCTTTTGGGGGTAATTGTATTACAGAAATGGATAGTAATCTTGAAACAGGCTATACCCTGCTCCCCACTATAGAAACTTGAATTTGAGAATAATTTAGCAAGTTGGAGGGATCCAAAACATCCAGATGTAAAGAGAAAGTCCAGAATGCTTGCTTAATGTGCCTGAAGTGCTGGGTTGGATTTCCAGTACTAATAAATTGTAATAGATTTGTTAAATGTAAGACTGATCTTGGTGAACTAAACAGGTTGGGTTCATGTTATCCTTAAGGCTCCTGAAAGTGTCCTTAGCAAACCTCCCATACCCCCTCCCCCTCCCAGCATTAAGGAAACTAATTGGTTTAGAGAATAACACCCTAGATATCGTAGATCATTTATTTTAATAGCTGGAGTTGTAAATAATATTTTTACTCACAGTAGGAATTGGTATTAACACAAAGCCAGGCCCAGGAAGATGTCTCATTTGGAAAGGTATTTGCCACCAAGCAGAAGGCCTAGTTTGGATCACAGAGACCCAACACAATAGGAGAGAACTGACTCCAGCAAGTTGTCCCCTGACTTTCCCCCAAGTGTACGTATACACACACAATAAATAGAAAATATTTTTTATTTCTATTTCCGCAAATAGTATTTTTACAGCCAGGACTGGGGATGTAGCTCAGTCAGTGAGTGCTTGCCTGGCATTCTTGAAGGCTACATTCCATCTCTAGCACCATGTTAAGGTGGGCATGGTGGTACATACCTGAAATCCCAAGCATTCTTGGAGGTTGGGCAGTAGAATCAGGAAGTTGAAAGGCCTCCTTAGTTAGCTACATAAGGAGTTTGAGGCCAGCCTGGGCTATATAAGACTGTCTCAAAAAGAAAAAGAACACCAGGCCAGTGTTACAATCTATGTGCTGAATCACTTTAATGTGGCAGATTTTTTTTAAAGTGTATAACATGAAATAAGTGCTGATTCAGCTGTATACATTTTTATTCCCTCAGAGTGCCATTTCATGAGTATCAAAAAAGGTTAGTCCTCCTAAAAGGCACTTTTCCTCTTTTATAACACTGGTCTCCAAGTAATGGAAAAACACTCTCTACATTGTCATATTCAGAGAAAAATGTTCCCTTGTGTTTTGAGAGTTGGGAAATAAGATTAAGCATTCAGGATAGTGTGTTTCAATCATATAATAACTTTCTCCTCAGCTCTAGAAACTTATTTACACTATAAAGGATCATTTCCTTTCAAAATACTATTTGCTAATGATTTTTTTTTTTCATGTCTAGATAAGAATAGAAGAATATGGATTCCCGGTAATGATTTGTCAACATTGCCTCATGTAACCTCGGAACTAGAGTAAGGGAGGCCTCCAGGTCCTTATGTGATCTTTGCCTTTGTAGGTGTTCTATGCATTGCATAATCATTTAAGAGTAGACTTCATTAAATACTACATAGAATGAGCCTTATTCTTTTTGTTACTTGGTGAAATCACGAGTATTTACATTTATAGCAGGAGTATACTTTAGTTAAAACGGATCAGTTTTGGGCTCAGGTTTCAGGTATTCAGTACTAATATGCAGCTATTTGCTTCTGAATGAATAATGCAGTTGTGGATTATTTAGCTGCTTTTCTAAAATCAGATTTTGGTAGCTAGATGTGTGGAGCTTATTTTTATTTGTCCAGTTACTTAATTGTCTAATGCCTAAGAAGGGGCTTTTTTCTTTGTGAATTCACTCTTAATGTGGTTTAGACTGAATAGTCTGCTAAGAATAGTTCATTCTAGCAAGTTGTACAATCTAGATTGAGTAATTAGAACTTTAGAACCTACCTTATTGAGATTGGGGATTGTGTTGGCTGTATGGTAGTTTTTCATCCTAGGAAGGGAAAGATAAAAGATTATAGAGTTGAGGAATAATCTATATATTATAAATTAGCAGAACAAGTCACGGTTGGAGTGACTTGGAGGTCGGAGTTACTGCTTTACCCTAAATGCACATATTTAGGGTTTAGAACAGTGTATGTTTAGGTATACAAGGATAGCATAGAACTTAGGTAGCAGAGAATGTGGCCCAATATTCAGTTTATGTTAGAACACTTAGAAAAGGGAGCACTGGTAATTGACTTGACATTGGTTACATTTTTGACAGTTAAACTGAATTTAATTAGGTATACTGATAGATCATCCAGTATGTGCTTTGTGTCAAAACAGAAAGGAACTGGTCATTTTGGGAAATGTGATCCAGTAAATAACTTAGCTTTTAAAATTTAGAATCTGAATCTCAGGGTTAGTGCAGTGTATTTACTACTAGGATAAAAAAATTGAGATCTTAGTTTTTTTTTTGTGTGTGTGTGTGTGTGTGTGAGAGAGAGAGAGAGAAAGAGAGAGAGAGAGAGAGAGAGAAAATGTTTCCCTGTAGCCCTGTAGGCTGTCTGGCCTGGAATGCCTGCCACTGTATCCCAGGAGCTAGGAGTAGAAGTTTATTCCATCATGCCTAGTTGAATTGGATTAACTTTTATTAGAGAAACAGGAATCTAGAAAACAATCATCTTGTCAATTGCCCATAGATTGTTACCATTGCTAGAAATGGTGTATGTACTTTAATGAAAGGGATCAAAAATATATTTGAGTTTGTTTAATGTTACAATATTGAGCAAGCATCAACAAAAGTTGATTGATATTCAGTTGATTGAGAGAGGGAAATTGTAATTGGCTAGTGTTCTAATTTTAATTTGTATGATTATAAGCAGGTAAAAATGATTAAACTGTAGGAAAGTTCATTTTACTTGTAGGGAGTTGGACCCAAGTGAAATGTATACAGATATAGGGTAAAATGTGTTTTTAGAAATGAAACATTCTGAGCTACTTTGTAGACAAAAATGTCAAAAACTGAATATATACTACAAAGTGTTACATAGTTGTCAGTGAGGTTTCAGCTTGACCTTATTTCTAACTGGACATCAGAAGGGTTCTCAAACTGTATTGTAGTATGAATTACATT